GACTCTTCCCAACTTTTCCCTTTCTCCCCCATCATTTTTCTTTCATGGCGCAAGTTGTTTCATGGTAAGGCTACAGGCAAGCTTATTGTTACTGCTATTATTTAAAATACATATATCTTGATCCTAAATATACATAGGTATTTATACCATTAATTGTTACATCTCAGTGTATTTTCAGAACAAATGACTTTACAATGTTTCACTGTGCAGTTAATTTTTGCTTACCTTTATAGCACTTCAAGACAGAATATAGCACTTAAACATCATTCACTTTGGTGGAAGCTAGGATTTCATGTGAACTGTAGCTAGTTACAATTACAAGTAGCTAGTCTTACATATTTAAGCTGATAAAATGTTATTATTTAATTAAAACATTTCATTTTCTAGCATCGTATTTTAATATATAAAATGTATCTAATGCAGAAATGTACATTTCAATATTTTAAGAAAAATTGTATTTTTTAAATCCAGATTGTGATAATGATATTCAGTAGAGATGTAAAAAATATTTTGGCTGTGTTCCAAGAGTTTTCTCCAAGTCTTGAAACAAAACAAGGCTGTTTCAAGTGGCATTGTTCTGAGTATTGTTTTGAATCTGGAGTCCCATGTTTGACTTACTGTTTTGAAAAATGTGTTTGGATTTGGGTTATTGTTTTTATTATTCCAGCAGAGCTGGTAAAATAAGAAGGGTCAGACTGGTTGAGAAAATAAGAAGTGAGGAAGCAGCAGCAATTGTTAAGAATATGCTCAAAGGCAGGTGATGATGCTTTTAAGCCCAGATTTTACTGGACGAGGCAGGATCTGCATCTGCATTCAGAGGTTATTCTAAATGGTCAGTCCTAAAATTAGAACTGAGGGAGGCTGCTTTAACTTCACCATCTACCTGGTAACTTTTGTTGCTGCTGCTGTTGTTGTTGTTGTGAGGAAGTTCATGGATTGGATTGGATTGCGTATATTGTTCTTTTTCTGTGTTATACTTTCTTTAGCATGTGGATAGCTATTAGAAAACATATTGCATGAGTTACACAAGTATTTCTACTACTGCTGATAAGTTTCAGATTGTTGTAAAATGTGAAGATTGTGTTGTTTTTTGTCTGACTGTTGAGCTTTGACTGGTGAATGTGCATGGCCTTGTTGAAGGTGACTTTTCAGGCTGCATGCTAAGTGCAAAGACAATGTTTCTTTAGTGGTTGGTTCAGTTTTGCTGTCAAATACAGAAATATGAGCTGGGCTTGTTAATTGGAAAGAGAGGGCAGCTTCAATAAGAGAAGCTGCTATTATAACCGTTCAAGGGGTGTGTTGAAATGAATCATGCAGTCACTGCTTTTTCCTGGCCTTCCATCTGTATAGCCAGGCTGGCAAAAATGGTGTCCTCAAATTGTTGCTTCTATTGTTTTATATGAGTTTTAAAGGGCTATCACCTTGCATACATTTGTGTCTTTAGGGTGAGAAACAAGAGAGCAAAAACGTTGTTGAAGTTCCCATTCTTTCATGTTGCAGAATGCAAGTTTGGTTCAACTTGGAACACTCAGGGTGTTCTGTGTTTTGCTCCATTTGAGCACAGCCAAATAAGGCTCTTTGGTCAAATCAAAATGTTTTTTTTTTCATTTCACACACACCCTTAGTTGCTGGTTATCTATGAAACTGTGATCATGGCTGTTGATTTGGATCGCAGCTTATCATTATAGTGTCTCTTAGATGACTCGATTTTGTGTGTATGTGTGTGTGTATGAGTGTAAGTGTTGAAAAGGAGAACATTTGAACAACAGACAATCTTTAGACTGTATGGGTAGTCTTTCCAATTTGATATGCTCAAGATGGATTCCCAATTTACACAATCCTCAGCCAACACAATCAAAGATATTCAGAGGGCACCATGTTGGAGGAAGCTGCTATAAGAGGACCTCTGAGTTCATAATTCCTAAATAAAAAGAAGAAAAATGGCAATATATTACTCAGCTATTAATAAAAAAGTGACAGGCCTCACGAGAAGATGAAGACTGCAAGGATGCAAGGTAGAATGTATGTCTATAAAGTGAACTATATAAGAACAGGTCCCAGAAACTGATAAATGTGTAAGATGTCTGCAACATTTCAAACGTCTGTTATCCTTGATTGCACTGAATGATTAAGATAGAAACAGCTCTTTAAAAATCATTTTACAGTGACAAAGCAGCGTTAGAATGTGATGAACAGCAAGCAAAATATAGAATGATAACAAGCTCAAGACAGTGGTGGAATAATACATTTATCTAACAGAGAACACTAAAAATAATAGATGTATCAAAAGTAAATGGAGACCTACATAGTGCAAAACAAATTTGAGAGACTTCGGAAAACAGAGAGACTGAAGGAGGATGGAGGATGGGGACTGAATGTAGAATAACATGTAAACAGTCACATACATGGTTTAAACTGGTTCATGTTCTGGTGACAAAATAAACCTTCATGCAGATATGCATACTTCATACGTATTTTTCTCATATAAGAGGTTTTTAAGCAGTCATTTGCTTATATCAGTTAATAAGACTGTTTGGTAACTTTACATTTGAAACATAACCAGAGAAGAGGTTTTTTGTTTTTTTTTTAAACCTAGCCTTATGTTACTGCTTTATTTCTATTTGGATATGCGGACTGAAGAGGGGAAAAAAGATTTTTATTTTCTCACGTTGCTGAGGTTAGTTGTGCTTCAGTATTACGGGGTTGATCAGCAAGGAGAAGCCGCCTTCTCTAATCCCAAGGCTTTTTTTTTCCAATTTAGCAGAAGACACCTACAAACAGAGAATTGGATTCCATCAAATTGCTTCTGTTAGGACAGGAGACCCAACTTTGGGGACCCACTAGTATGTTTGAGATTTTGCAAGCCATCGCAAAATAACTGTCCTGGAAGTAATTTTTTTTTTTTTTTAATCTGCACTCAGTCATTACTGACTCTGCAGTGACTGGTTGGACGAGTCCTTGCAGTTTTCAAGGCAAGTGTTTCGGAAGTGGTTTGCCAGAGCCTCCTTCATAGAGCAGAGCCCAGCTGGCGTGCGCAGGAGGCGGGGTTTCCGTTGCTTCGCTCCCTTTTCGGGTGAGCGCGGTTTTCGTGTTTTACCGGCAACTGCTCCCGACTCCTTTTTTGCAAGGCACCGCCAGCATTTTTCCTCCCACCAGAGTGAGAGTCCCCATTTATCTACTCATGTGAGTTTTCGACCTGCTGGGTTGACAGGAAC